CCTAATCCTAAGAAAATTTATTCCGCATACTTTAAAACTGCGTTGCACACATCCCACCAAACATAAGTTAACGCTCTTGCATCTTGTTTGCATAAACTGAAACCGGCTGACAATTACTTCGTGGTCCAAACATTTTATACTAGTTTGAGTGATCATCAACAGTTAAATCAGAACCCGTTCCACCAATGAAGCGATGCTAGTTATTTTAGTTATCCATGTATAGTATGGACGCCAAAGAAAATGATGTCAGTGTCACGTGGGCGTTGAGTCCTGATCTAAGCTTGCATTGGCATTGAGATCCCTGACATCATTTGCCAAGTGAATGAATGTAATCGAAAAATTTGTGGGATATGTTTGTTGAAAGAGAAAACAGTCTTTAGCCTTGTTCATGGGAGTAATTTGAATGCAAGCGTAATTAAGGACAATCGATTTTCACGTAATCAATGCAAACTCAAGCATAGTGAGATAAACAAGCCCATTTGATTATCCTAGACCCCATCATGACGGACAGACATTTTTTACCTTGCGTTTACGTTAGCCTGCGAGCAAGCTCTCTCGATTAACACCCCTCCCTCTTGCGTCTCCTTTTGAGTGCAGCTTGCACGTGAAGTTTCACGATAGCCCCAAATAGACAGCTAGAACGTCGGCTGCAATTGTTTTTAACTGGTTGACAAGCGTTAAGTGCAAACAAAAGCGTTTAGGGAAAGAGTTAGTTCAATTGTCTTTTTCGGGTTGCACTTGCGTTTGTTTATCCAGTCTTCAATAAAACGAGGCAAGAAGTGAAAAAGAAGATTAACGCCTGCGTCGCAAGTGGAGGTTGGGTGCCCATGGGCCAGGGGGCTGCAACCGCAATACACCCCAAGGCGGAAGAACACCCACAGGCCTACCAACCCGCAACCCAGCCACGAGCCCCCCCGCGCCCAGCCCCCCACTATAGCACCCGTCACACTGAGGCCAGAAGCCCAGTGGAAGTAAAATGAACCAACCCCTGAAAAAATAAATAACTAAATAAATAAGAAAGAAAGCGGAGGGAGGGAGGGGAGCCAAGAGAAACGCTACGCTACTGGAACGCCACGCCACGCCACGCTAACAAAGCTTCCAGTACAAAGCAAACACAACGTAGGCACGTGGCCTCCGCATGCGCCAAAGCGACATACCGCTGGACAGGAATCTGCCCTCCAGCTCACGAACAATGGTAAACGCTACAAACGCAAACATAGTCACGCACAACGCCACAAAGAATGCCAAAAACACCCGAGACCATAGCTCCTGGTCGTTAACTACATTAAATATGATTTAATAGTATTTAACGCCTGCGTCGCAAGTGGAGGTTGGGTGCCCATGGGCCAGGGGCTGCAACCGCAATACACCCCAAGGCGGAAGAACACCCACAGGCCTACCAACCCGCAAACCAGCCACGAGTACCCCGCGCCAAGCCGAAGGGACCTCCGGGTAGGAAACCCGGAGCAAGGGGGCTCGGGGCTGCAGAGCCCCAGGCCCCAAGGGCCCAAACCTGAGGCACCCACCCCCACGGCAGCCCCAAAGGTAGTACAGATACCTGCTATGCAGCCAGCTGTCTGGATACGTGGACGATGGAGCTAACTGGAGTACGAATATAAATCTGGTAGGCATCACTAGACCACCGGCCTAGGGTCTTGATCAGATGATCCGGAACTCCCCGAGCAGCAGCTGTAGTTGCCGCTCCAATACGGAAGCTATGGCCTGAATAAGAGCCAGTATAGCCAGCTGAGTGTAAGATAGACTGAACTGTGGATGACAATTGTTGCCGAGTAAGAGGGCGACCGTCACTAAAAGTAAAGAGAGGACCCTCAGAAGAGCCACGCAGAGGCACGAAGTTGCACAAGGCACGGATGGGACACACCGGGCCCTCACCACGCCCCACATATATATCACAGCCCATGCGAAACGGATCAGTCTTAGAGCACTTGATATGAACTTTAAAACAGGTAGGATTCACCAGGGAATCAGCTTGCCGGTCAGCAACAGTCATATGGATACTAGGCTGAAATGCAGAATTCACTGTGAACTCCCCAGCTCGTAAGAAACCGAAGAAACCCAAACAGCATGCCGCCCACGGCATCACATGGTCTCTCCTGGAGAAGTCCAGACGATGTTGAATCGCCCGCAGATGATCCAGGGTGATAGGAAGGCGCCGGGGTGATACTGGACCTTGAACCCGCTTAATTCCCCTGAGTAAACGCTGCAAACGAAGGCAGTTGACGAAAGGGTCTGACAAGCCATGGTCAATGTGAAGGGAACGTACTGCTGACAGGTATACTTTTGTAGATGCGTGGGTCAAGTTGTCGGCCAAGAGTGAAGCAAAGCGCATGAGAGTCTCCTCATCGGCAGGAGGGAAGGAGCCATCGCTGTTAAGGCGACCATCCCGGCAGCAAAAGTGAATATAGCGACGCTGAGCAGAGAGATAAACACGCCGACTGGAGGGCGCGAGTCCCTGGGAGAGCAGAAACTGACACCTCTGGGTCAACACGTCTGGAGTGCCGCCAGCAGCGACTCGGGAATCACACAGGGAGTCAGGTCGGCTTGAGGTGCCAGACGACGAAAACGCTGAAATTGAAAGCGTGAGAGGGAGTCAGCTACTGGATTGGCCAAGCCGCGAACTGAAGACGCCGTAAACATAAATGAGTGGCGTATAGCCAGCAAGGATAAATGACGCAGCAGCCTCATCAAGTGGTGGTCCCGTGAAGTGCCAGACTTAAGTACAGCCAAAACTGACTCATTGTCGCACAGGAACTCGACCCGCCGAGAGCCCCACTGAGAACCCCATAAGGCGGCGGCTACAACGATGGGGAAGAGCTCCTTTTACGCAATCGATAACGACCGTTGCTCCATAGACCAAGCGCCGCAAAACCACTTGGTGTTAAAAATAGCCCCATAGCCCAGTGACCCTGCAGCATCCGACGAGACTTGGAAATCCGGGACGGGCGCCCACGTGGGCATGCAAAAGAAACTGAGGCCATCCCAGGTTTGAAAAAGCTCCCGCCACCAGGTAAGGTCCCGACAGAATTCTTGGTTTAGCCTGATGGGGTGATCGTCCAGGCGGAAGGCACAAAGCAAGTCAATCATCCGACGAAGAAAAGTCCTCCCTTGTGGGGCAACCTTGCAGGCGTGATGGAGGTGGCCAATCAAGGATTCCAACTCCCGCCTCTTACAGAAACGCTTGGTGGACCACTCCTCAAGTAAGGCAACAATCCGGTCTCTTTTCTCAGTGGGCAGGCGAGCCTCAAGCCTATCGGAGTCGAGTTCAATCCCGAGGATAGTTAAGCAAGTCGTCGGTCCCTCTACCTTGTCAGGATGAAGGGGGAGACCAAGCCTTTCGCAAAGGCGAACACAGGTAAGTAAATATAAGTGGCAGAGCGGGGTTGACGGTGGACCAAGGGTAAAAAAGTCATCCAGGTAGTGGCGTAGGAAGTCCACGCCATAATTATGAACCAGGATCCATTCAACCAGGTCCGCAATAGAAGTGAAAATAAATGGCGCTGAACGCAACCCAAACGGGAGAACCAGATCGACAAAGTACTTCCCACGCCACTGCATCCCCAGCAAGGGGCGATCGTCGGGATGGATAGCCACATTCCGGTATGCACTGGCCACATCAAACTTAGCCATTAGTGTTCCGCGACCCCACGCCATGATGCCGTCAATAACTGCATCGACTGAAACGTACTGCACTGTGAAGGGAGGCTTGGGAATGCCATCGTTCACGCTGTGCCCAACAGGAGAGGAGAGGTCAAGGATGAGACGCCATTTGCCTGGTTGATTGTTCTTGGGAATGACCCCAAAGCGGCTGATGTGTAGAGAAGGAAAAGGAGGGGCTGAAAAGGGGCCAGCCACCCTGCCGGAGGAAACTTCGTTCTGCAAGTAGGAGTCTATCACAAATGAGTGCTCGAAGGAGGAACGCATGTTCGAAGAAGCGGACTTAAGATTGACCATGGACGACTCAAAGCCAATACGAAAACCCTCACGAAATCCGGACAACACATAGGCCACTGCCGCCCGGTCTGGATGATGCTGAAGTTCTGTCTGAAATTGATCCGGCCGTAGTGGAGAGACCTGGGAGGCTGGGGCTAATGGCGAGAAAGAATGAACAGAAACTGCAACGCTGGGTATACTAACTGGAACTGTAACAGAACAAGACGGTTTCACCGAGGAACGCAGATCACGCTGCCCCCCTGACGACGCAACAAAACTATTTACACTATGTACACAAGCCTCACCGGGCAAAACTGCCCATTCAGTACCGTCCCCCTCTCCCCCCGGGCTGGGGAGATCGGGATCGTGCGCCAGAGGAGTTGGGGAATGGACAATTGATCTGGGTGTGTTCACCCTCACAGTTACTGCAGCGGTGTCGATATTTGCACTTACCAAAGGACCAGCGGCACTGCCCGTCATTCCATGAATGGCAAAAAGGAGGGACCAGGCTGGTGTCACGGGAGGCGGCAGGAAGTGGAGCTGATGCCGTGGAAGAAGACGACCGAGGTGGCGGGGGTGAGGCCATGGCTGGAGACCTTAAGTGAAAGTTGTATAGGTCTAAGTTCATCCTTGACCAGTCACTGAGGCCAGAGGCAGCCGCATCCTTTCTGAACGCCAGGTCATACTCTAACCAGGCTGAACTAGAAAAATGACGAGCCGCTTGAATGATAAGCAGCTTATACTTGGAGAGATCGGGCCAACGATGAGGGTGAGCTGTGCACAGCACCATCTGAAAAATAGTAAAGGCTTCCGTCCAAGTCAAAATGTCTTTTATTTCCACTTGCCTGCGTTTTGACGAGGACACCACGAGCTTACCATTGAGGAACGTTTGTGGCTCCTGCTCCACGGCGCGAGGATTCACGGACAACAAATCTGCCAATTCGACAAACTGGCCACCTACAATTTTTGACACTAGTTTTGAGGGAATAGGGCCATGCCCCGGACCAACGATAAAAGCCTTCTCAGACTTGGGAGATGCCAACGAAGACTCAAGGCTTGGAAGCCACCGAAGAAACACCGTCACCTGTACTCGCACTCGAAGTGGACGCTGAAGAAAATAAAGGTTGTGGAGCCCCGCTAGCAGAAACGCCTGGAACCGAAGAAGAAGCCTGCGAGAAGGCGTTTCTCTGGATCGATGAAATAATGGCGGGAATGGAGTTTCCGATTGCCCGAGCCACAGCCTCGGTGAGAGAGTCAGCCAACTGAGGCGACCAAGAACTAGAAGCCGTACTCGACACAGGACTTTCAGACGTTGCCGTAGATGGAAGGGGGTCTTCGGTAGGAAGGCCCGCCGATAAGCTGTTGTTAGTCGAGCGAGATGAGCGCGGCATTACAGAGGACAACCAAAAACTCTCCAGCAGAGGACGAACCACAACAGGAAAAACGACGAACAACGGCAACGAAAACCACTTCGACCGGAAAAAACTTTGACAGAACCAAGAGAAAAAGGTATGCTACTGGAACTGAGAAACCAAGCTAGCCAAAACTAGGGCAGAACCAAGAGAAACTCTACGCTACTGGAACGCCACGCCACGCCACGCTAACAAAGCTTCGAGTACAACGCAAACACAACGTAGGCACGTGGCCTCCGCATGCGCCAAAGCGACATACCGCTCGACAGGAATCTGCCCTCCAGCTCACGACCAATGGTAAACGCTACAAACGCAAACATAGTCACGCACAACGCTACAGATGACCAACGAGCCACCAAAGAATGCCAAAAACACCCGAGACCATAGCTCCTGGTCGTTAATTACATTAAATATGATTTAATAGTATTAAAGTGACCTTCATAGTGTTTCCTCAACTCGAGTAGTGCTCATGCAACATACCTGTCGTGCAGTGTATAAATGGGATATGTATAGGGAACAACACTTCTAAGGCAAACATGTCTAAAGGTTTTAATTTTGACTAGGGGGTATATCGTGGCAGTTTGTGGCTATGAACTCATTAAATGAAAGAAAAACTGCTTCTTTGGGACATCTACAACTTTCTTGTGGATACAACTATCAGAGAGGGGGGCTCTTCAATTCCTTAAATATGGCATTTTTAAGGAAAAAGTCTATGTCATGTGACTTTCGATTGTCGTCTGTGGAGAAAAAAACTCTGCAAAAACGCCGTGCGATCACAATTTTTGATCAATTCAGGCTTTTGAGCAATGCTCTATGAATCCAACACAAGATGACGAAAGCAGGGCTAACCAGAGGCTTTTAAACCACTGAAAAGATTTTTGCCTCGTTTTCATGTAATGATTTGCATTTGTGTGGTAAAAAACGGCCCTTGATAATTGGAAAGTAGTTGCAAGAGTGTTATCATTTAAACTTGCCTGAGAAGGTGCGCCTTCTCACACCTTTAAACGCACAAATGCACAGAAGACAGCTTCAGCACAGGACACCCAACAATAGCCTCGACATATTTGGAAGGAGGGGTCACGTGACACCAAAGAGAGCATGAAAGCAAAGAAAATGTCTTCTTCCACAATATCTAAGACTTTTATTTACAGAAACGCTCAAAATGGTATTTTAGAAGGATTTCCACTAACAGCCTCGTTTTCATATAGGTCATTTTAGGGCCTGCGCAGTGTTCGTGTCCAGTGTTGAATTTGGCTTGGCTCCATATCCAGAAATGTTAGTCTTAGGGTTGGTTGTAATCTGGCAAAGTTTCATGCTTTCATCATAAAAGTGAACAATTTTGGTCGATAACAGCTCGACTATAATCAAGACGAGCAAGAAAGATTCTAGAGCGAAACCAAGAGTCCCAAAAAAACTGACAGTGCTTACAAGTGTAATTAATTTTTTCACTACCAGATAAAAGGAAAAGTAATGAGTTGGTTTGATTATTGGCTTGCATTAAACCTATGTAAAAATGATACTTTTTTAATGGTAAGTAGATTTAGTGTGTAGCATTTCTTCATTTTTTGGCAAAGGCACAAGAAGCACGAGAATTGATTAAAAATCGTGAGTTAAACCTCTACGTATCACGCCATCGCCTGTCTCATCGTACCAAAATTATCATTCTCGGTGAGCATTCGGAAGTCAGCCAAGCGCGGTCATTGCACGCGTGCTGAACAAGAATGTTGTATCATGACAGACTAGAAACAATAGAAAACTCCCAAAGCACAAACGCAGCCAAAACGCTAAAAATCTTCAATGTTTACTCAAGTTTGGGCTTATAGAAGATAATGTCACAGTTTTTCAATGATCATGAAATTCAGAATCCGGGTAGTTAGTTAATCAATTGTGGCCCTGGAAAAATTTGAAGGGAAAAAATCTACGAATTTTTAAGAAAATGCTTTTTTCGTGAGAAGGACTCTTAAACGCTGACAAACGTCAACAACTAGCTAAAACTATAATTTGTATATGTTTGCATTGCTCGAAATCGCGGGCATTTACAAGGCCCTAAAAATTTTTTGCTGACTTGCAAGGACCCATCTGTTATAAAGATCCCCAAAATCAAGGGCTACATCTCACAGTTTATTAGATATAATCGTGTAAAGTTGGCCTTTCATTTTCGCATAAGTTATGACCTAAATTTCTCGAATTGGGTCTTTGCGATTTTGGTGAAACTCTGTTCAGCGCAAGGCACTAATGCGCCATATGTGTAGCCGAGAGATTTTCACAAAAAAATGCCGGCAACAGCAGATTTTCGACTCAGACCTCAAAGGGGCGTGGCATTATAACCACGTGACATTTACTCCGATCGCCAAAAATTTTATGTTATATTGTAGATTGATCTATGTGTTATCCATTTTATGTGTTAGACTTACGATAAAAGTAAAGGTGGGGATACCAGAGAGCTTCAAAGTAGGATGGCACCCCCCCCAAAGAAACTGGGTCGAGTTACCTTAAGTTTTCCTTTTTCATCAGAACCTTCAGATTGTAAGGTAATTAAAAAAGGTAGCAGTCTTAGCCGCGGAGAGTAAACCTTTTTCCAGTTAGGTCTAGTCGTCTCCTGTAGCTCAGTGGCAAGAGCATCTGTTTACTCTGTTGACTCCTGTTGGGAAGTTCTCAGACTTTTTCTGTTGAGCGGGCTGCCAGACACTGCCTGACGAACATGTTTCTCAAGGTTGTTTATGTATGTAGGCTTCCTTTATATAAACAGATGAACGAATGACTTTGGATCGACATCATAACCAAATTCTTTTCCTAAATCATCAGGTTTAGTATAAATATAAAATTTAGGGATTTGAATTCACTGCAAGAATATCATTTGTACATTGAATGACTTATGTATATATTTATTTCTGAAGATTTCAACTGATTTCTTTTTCACATTTGGTCTTTTCTCATCATAAAAGGTGCAAAACCATCTCTCTCAAGTGCCTACCTTCCTTCAATGGTTCCCAATTTCACTGGGCGACAGAGCGAAGTTGAAGAGATAATCGGACATGTCACTTCCGAATCCACCCGACTTGTGTCGATCTGGGGTTCACCTGGATTCGGAAAAACGTCGGTTGCAATTGCAGAGGGGCACGCTCTTCAGACTCAAGGACTGCCAGTGTACTGGGTTTCATTACGAGGACTTCAGTCAAAGGCGGGTCTGACTTCAAAGCTTCTTAGCCTTCTAAGGCAACCAACCATTAATAATCAACCGTCCGATCAGCGTCTGTCCCTTGATGATGAGATTTGCCAACTATTCAATAAAATATCGAAACAGTCTGTATTTATTCTTGATAATGCCGATGATTTGTTAGAAAGTGGTTGGCCAAAAGTGAAGGAAGAAGTCATCCAACTTCTTGAAGAAATACTCAGGCAAAACCCAAGGGTGACGTGCATTGTAACCACGAGGGAGTCTCTTGAGTTTATGGACATTCATTTTCAAGGCCATCAAGGCTTGAGAGTCAGAACAATGGATAAAGCCTCTACAAAATCCTTAATTCATGAGTTACTTCCAAATGCGAGCGCTGCAGATTGCATAGAAGTCGCGCATATCTGCGGACAAGTTCCTTTGGCCATAAAATTAATGTGTTCTTTGATTTCTGAAGATAATTCTTTACCAAGCCATTTTCTAGATGATTTCAAGGCGTCCTCTACAGAAAGTATCGTAAGCATGTTGGACATATTTGACTCCTCTTTCCAGAGACTAACTGCACAAGAACAAGAAGGTTTAATTTCTTTGAGTATTCTCCCGGAAAGCTTTACTACTGAGGTCGCTGAGGCCGTTTTAGGAACCAAAAGTGGTTTTAAAGCCAAAAGGATGTTACAAAACCTTCGGAGGAAGTCACTGATTGATTCAGGCTCTAAACCCGGGACTTTCACGATGCACAAACTGTTGCAATCATTTTCGAAAGAGAAAGGGAACACTGAGATGAACAATACAATTCTCGATGCAAAGGGTCGTTTGAATACATTCTATGTCTCGTACTTTGATAAACTAAATAAGCAATTTCTCACCGGGAATTCCATGGATGCATATATTGCATTTTATGAGGATAAGGAAAGCATTGTTCAAAGCCTAGTAGACGGATGTTCTGACTCCAAAACAGCTGACACTGTCTTTGACATATTGGTCAAGGGGGAGTTGTTTCTTGACACGCTTTTTTGGACCGCTAGTGAAGGGAAAACCTTTTATCACATATACGATGCCGCCATAAAAGCAGCCAATCTGCATGGAAATGAAAAATACCACAGGCAGCTACTTTCTTCTAAAGCTTTCAGTCAAGTAACCTGGGGACGAGCAGGACAGACGAATCATCTTCTCACTGAAGTGAAAGTTCTGCAAGCAGCATCGTCCCTTGTTTCTAATCAAGAAAGAGGCAAATGCTTCTGCTATTTAGGAATCTGTTACCTTACTGCAGAAGAAACGAAGAGTGGGGTCCACTGCCTACAGCAGGCACTTTCATCACTGGATACTTGCAACGACCAAGAGTCGTTATTTCTAAAGTTTCTTATTCTTCAGATCTTCGTTTGTTATTATCAGTCCCTAAATGACTTCTACAATGCAAGTTTCTACTATGACAAATCACTACATTTGTCCTCTGCAGTAGGAGATTGCAAGCTGCTTATTATTCCGCCAATGAAAAGCAAATCACAAAAAACTACCAATGAAATGCAGTTTGGAAATGACTCAAACATTTTGCTGAATCAACCTTTCGAATTCCAATTTGTCTGTCTCTTAAGTGAAGCTACAAAGTTTTTCGCTGACACTAAAACCAAACAAACTACAAGCCACTTGGTTCTTCAAATGTTAGAGTGTGCCGAAAAAGATGTTACACCTTCAATTGGTTTGCTATATTTTTCCACAGCTGTGGCAAAGCTGCTGTGGCATTTGAATAGTGAAGACCCTGAAAAACTATTATGGTCAAGAATAAATTATCATAAAAAAACACTAAAGCGATGGAAAGAAACTTTCCTAAATAGTCACGACTTTGGCGGTCATGGTCAAATACAAATTGAAGCGCTTGTGGACTGCTACTTAAACCTGGGTAGAGTTTACAACAAAAGAGGAAACCATTCAGAAGCTCTTCAGTCATACAAGATAGCGCTGGAAACAGCAACAAGGTCCTTAGGAGAACAACATGAAAGGACTTCCTTCACCTACAGGGAACTTGGTGTAACACAACACAACATGCATGACTACAGTGCAGCTCTACAATCTCACCAACGTGCATTAGAAATCCGTCTTAAACTATTTGGAGAGGACCATGAAAGTACTGCTGACAGCTACTGGGAACTTGGTGTAACACAAAGCGACATGCATGACTACACCGCGGCTCTGCAATCTCACCAGCGTGCATTAACTATCCGTCTTAAAATATTTGGAGAGGACCATGAAAGCACTGTTGACAGCTACAGGGCAATTGGTGTAACACAAAACAACATGCAAGACTACAGCGCAGCTGTACAATCTCACCAGCGTGTATTAGCTATCCGTATGAAGCTACTTGGAGAAGAACATAAACGCACTGCTGACAGCTACAGGGAACTTGGTGTAACACAATACAACATGCATGACTACAGTGCAGCTCTACAATCTCACCAGCGTGCATTAACTATCCGTCTTAAAGTATTTGGAGAGTACCATAAAAGCACTGCTGACAGCTACAGGCAACTCGGTCTAACAAAATGCAACATGCATGAATACAGTACAGCTCTACAATCTCATCAGCGAGCATTAACTATCCGTCTTAAACTATTTGGAGAGGACCATGAAAGCACTGCTGACAGCTACTGGGAACTTGGTGTAACACAAAGCGACATGCATGACTACAGCGCAGCTCTGCAATCTCACCAGCGTGCATTAACTATCCGTCTTAAAATATTTGGAGAGGACCATGAAAGCACTGCTGACAGCTACAGGGCAATTGGTGTAACACAAAACAACATGCAAGACTACAGCGCAGCTGTACAATCTCACCAGCGTGTATTAGCTATCCGTATGAAGCTGCTTGGAGAAGAACATAAACGCACTGCTGACAGCTACAGGGAACTAGGTGCAACACAATACAACATGCATGACTACAGTGCAGCTCTACAATCTCACCAGCGTGCATTAACTATCCGTCTTAAAGTATTTGGAGAGTACCATAAAAGCACTGCTGACAGCTACAGGCAACTCGGTCTAACAAAATGCAACATGCATGAATACAGTGCAGCTCTACAATCTCATCAGCGAGCATTAACTATCCGTCTTAAACTATTTGGAGAGAACCATGAAAGCACTGCTGACAGCTACAGGGAACTTGGTGTAACACAATACAACATGCATGACTACAGCGCAGCTCTACAATCTCACCAGCGTGCATTAACTATCCGTCTTAAACTATTTGGAGAGGACCATGAAAGCACTGCTGACAGCTACAGGGCACTTGGTGTAACACAAAACAACATGCATGACTACAGCGCAGCTCTGCAATCTCACCAGCGTGCATTAACTATCCGTCTTAAACTTTTTGGAGAGGACCATGAAAGCACTGCTGACAGCTGCAGGGAACTTGGTGTTACACTAAACAACATGCAAGTCTACAGCGCAGCTCTAAAATCTCACCAGCGTGTATTAGCTATCCGTATTAAGCTGCTTGGAGAAGAACATGAGCGCACTGCTGACAGCTACAGGGAACTTGGTGTAACACAATGCAACATGCATGACTACAGTGCAGCTCTACTATCTCACCAGCGAGCATTAACTATCCATCTTAAAGTATTTGGAGAGTACCATAAAAGCACTGCTGACAGCTACAGGGAACTTGGTGTAACACAAAACAACATGCATGACTACAGTGCAGCTCTGCAATCTCACCAGCGTGCATTAACTATCCGTCTTAAACTATTTGGAGAGGACCATGAAAGCACTGCTGACAGCTGCAGGCAACTTGGTGTTACACTAAACAACATGCAAGTCTACAGCGCAGCTCTAAAATCTCACCAGCGTGTATTAGCTATCCGTATTAAGCTGCTTGGAGAAGAACATGAGCGCACTGCTGACAGCTACAGGGAACTTGGCGTAACACAATGCAACATGCATGACTACAGTGCAGCTCTACAATCTCACCAGCGAGCATTAACTATCCATCTTAAAGTATTTGGAGAGTACCATAAAAGCACTGCTGACAGCTACAGGGAACTTGGTGTAACACAAAACAACATGCATGATTACAGTGCAGCTCTGCAATCTCACCAGCGTGCATTAACTATCCGTCTTAAACTATTTGGAGAGGACCATGAAAGCACTGCTGACAGCTGCAGGCAACTTGGTGTAACACAATACTACATGCATGAATACAGTGCAGCTCTACAATCTCACCAGCGTGCATTAACTATCTGTCTTAAATTGTTTGGAGAGGACCATGAAAGCACTGCTGACAGCTACAGGCAACTTGGTTTGACACAATACAACACGCATGATTACAGCACAGCTCTGCAATCTCACCTGCGTGCATTAACTATCCGTCTTAAACTGTTTGGGGAAGAACACGCAAAAACTGCTGACAGCTACAGGCAAGTCAAGATCACTCAAGACGCCCTGCAAGAGAAAGGTGAAAAGAACAAAGAGAAAAGTGCTGAAACATGAATAGATCTTTTTTAAAGCTTAGTGATTCTTCATGTTGTCTAAAAGAATCATGGGAGTTTGTAAATATTATTTATAGTAGCAAGGATATTTGTTAGAATTTGGTATTTAGTGTATTTTCTGCTGACTCAGCATGTGAGCATAGAATATATAGGATGATAGACTACACTACGAGCAGTCTCTCTTTTTTCTTAATCCATCGAGCCAAACGCGCGAGACACGGAAATGACGCGCGCGCATTCCCTTCACTAAATCTAAATCACAGTGTAGAAGATGATCGTCAATACAGTGGAATCTGCTTTACGAACACTCAGTTAATAACTGACAGTTTCCATTGTCCCGACAGAAGGCTTTTTTTTTCTCTTACATTTAGTTGACGGTACTGGTTATTACAACAGTGCGTGTCTCGAATGACTGGAAACGCTATCAGACACCTTACGTTACGGACACTAATGATCAGGGCGCCGTATACATCTCACCACCGAGAGCCTAAAACAGGTAACCCACGCCTGTAGAAAGGTTCACAAACTAAGGGTTGGTGGGTGCTGGGTAGCGGGTTAACCAAGTCAAAGCTACACTTCCCTCAACCCTAGTCATTAAAGGAGCCGTGTCAAGAAATTTTTGAAAATTCAAACAGTGACCGGGAACTGCCAGCAAATCGTAAAACGTAATGTAAGGTGTCTGGGTGCCAGAGGCTTTTCATGCGCGGTTTCCGGTTTCGGCGGAAGACATGTCCGCCAGCAGCTGACAAAGCTTTTCGTCGTACGCCAGAAAAAAGCTCTCGTACCAAGTGGCACCTAATCGAGTGAATCTGTGAAATAACCGCTAAAAAGGATTATTAGAAAAGAGTATAAATGACACAGCAAATGCAAAAGGAAGCAGGGATGTACAAACAGATTGAAACGGATTATAATTGTGGTTTTGGAAAACTTGCTCACCTAACAGTTTTTCAAAGTTCATCAGTTTTTCAAAGCAGCAATTGATATGATGTGTTGGAGAAATGAAAGATGTGATTTTGTCATTCAAAGATGATTTCTCAAGTTTCATAGGGTAACTGTCATTAGCCTGGGACCAGGCTCCGCAGTTGGGGAAAAAAGGAAAAAACGGGATCAAATAGAAAAAATATAGGCGAATGAAGCGAGCCGGGCGGTAGCCTGGGAAGGGGGAAGGGGCGGCGCCACCTTTTTGAAGCCAGTTAGGTTTGTTTTCATTCGAGTTAGTTTTCTTTTTCCTCGAGTGTTGATACTCATAGAGAACTTAACGTTATTGTATAAAAGCAATAGACCACACTTTCTGTGGGTTTACCGGCGTGATAACCCACTTAGGATGTTGGGAGAACACGAGAAAAGCTTGTAAATCACTCGCCTTTGGCTCGTGGTTTACAAGATTTCTCGTGTTCTCCCAGCATCCCGCGTGGGTTATCACGCCGGTAAACCCATAGAAAGTGTGGTCTATTGCTTAAGTATACTATCTAGATACTCATCCATCACCTCATGTAAGAGAATCCAGGACAGTCTTGGATTCTGGATTTCACACCGTGGATTCCGGATTCAAGATACTGGATTCCAGTCATTGTCATTAGAACTTGGATTCTGGATTCCAATCGTTAGTGGGATTCCGGATTCCATAAGCAAAAATTTCCCGGATTCCGGAATACGGATTCCGTTCATTGGGGTGTTCATCACCCAACAACACCTCAGCTAAAGATATGATAGGATTGTAAACTAGGTATCATATCTGGATATCTATTCTAGCTTTTCTTCAGATCACGGCGGATATCACCACTCGCAAATGTGAATCAGGTATCGCTGCTTGTGACAATCCTTGTCCGTCGTGTTAGTTGAGAGTGAAACATTAGCCTGCGAGCAAGCTCTCCATTTGGGGGATAGAGCGATTTTCGTATGACCTTGAATTGAAAACTCGCGAACAAAACAAAAACAACAAAAGAACGGAAATAGAGCGATTTGATTGCTTTATCGAACGGATACAAAAATGTGCGTGCCTTTTGTTGGCTAAGGGAACACTCGGGTGACAAAACTTCATGCCCGAGAACTTTCTAGAAATCAGTCGATACTTCGCTTTGACGTCACACTGCAACACGATTGGCCAATCGAACAATGCCTTCTCCGTATAAGGGTTTTCTTTCGCGGGAAAACGAAGAAGCCATGCTTTGATCTTTTCATCCATTGGCTGATAAAACAAATAAAGAATAGTTGCCGAAACCATTTTTCAAGATCATACTAAAATCACTCTATCGTGAAAAGTACATGCGCGAGCGGCACAAAAGAGGAGACGCGCGAGCGAGCTTCGCCGCTCGTTTACGCCTTCGATTCTTGCGCGGCTCGTTTCCCTCGCCCACTGATGGAAAGCTTGTTCGCAGGTTGGCGAAACATTTGAATACCCCTCTGCCTTAAATAAGCTAAGTCACGAATTTTCAATTTTACTTTCAAACCCTACGAAAGATACATTGGAGTCAAAGAAAAACAGAGAGATAACGGCTAAGTTTCATTTAAAGTTACTCTACTACTTTGAGTGTATGCGTGAAACTTTAATCAGCTTTAATACATTAAAGATAATTTAAAGGCAAATAAATTTACCCAACTAAACTCGTGTAATCTCCACAGCCGTAAAGTTAACAGGCTCGTTTCTCTAACTACATATGAGCCTGTGTTAAAATAAACCTGCTTGCAAGCTGTTATATTTTTCATAATTAACAATCGAATCATGTCAATCTGTGGTAATTAGGTAAAAATTAGATCAGCAGAGCCTTAATATCAGCGCGACACCCGTCTTTTTAAATTGTGAGGAATACCGTGAAATTCTGACGTTTGGAATCGTCATTTTACGCCCTCCATGTTATTTATTTATTTATTTACAGATTTAGTATGATAAACAAGTAAGCTACTCAGATGCATTACACGTTTTAAGTAATGGTCCAGATAAGAAGGAAAGGACCAAAACGCAGTGAACACGTTGGAATGCAAAAAGGTGCTAACTTTACTATTGTCTCTACTAAGGTTCTGATTGGTTTAAACATCAAATTTTACGAAATCTTCGCAAAGCAGCATGTACATTAATCCCTTTTTTTCTATCCAACTTCCTTATAACAAAATTTCGTCTGAGTCTAAGTAACACAGAAATCGTATGTGCGGATCATGTAAAATTGTTAACATTTCTTGGCCGTTGTTTGCAACTCTTGTGATTGGTCGAAATGTTTTAACACAAAAATACACCCTTTAAAAATGGAGTTTAAATACATTTTATTTCGTAAACAGCCTTTTTGTAGATTTATGCACTCTCTGCGTAAAAATGAAAACATTTCTATGTGAGGAAAGCGTATTGCGCCACAACAAAAGAAATTGCTTCCCTTCTTACCTGGATCATTACTTAAAGAAGCAATGCTACTATTAAAGTCATCAACAAAATTACCCCACCCGCAATTTATAATTTATAGGCAACTGAGTTGAAATTCCATGGACCTGTTTGCCGTTTCTAGGTAAACACTGTTCCTTTACCCTAGTTTTCCGAACTAATCCAGTGCTGTGTTACTTGGAGGGTTAGAAATATGGGGATTCTACTGTATAATAATTGATGAAGTCTAATTAGCTATAGGTACCACCACCGAAAAGTTCTTTTTGAAAATATATACTTCGTATAACTACTAACCCTTCCCCAATATTGACTAATGTTATAATTTCTTTAAAATCTCTGCTACTGTTCACGTTTTTGTAATATAATTAAAAAGTTACATAATACTGTAATTTATATGTAGTTTTCAGTTTCGAGTAATTATAATGCTCTTGTATTACATGTTAAGTCTAAGAATAATGTTTAAAAGCAATTTTCAGTGTTGAATGACCTGGTTTTTTCTAACCAGAAGTATCAATAATATACTAATTTATTCCTTGGAGTGCTTTGGCATGTTTAATCGCTGTTTGTGCAACGGTTTTTACAGCTAATCATCAAGAATGTTGAGTATAATTAACACGAAAATAAAGCGGTTTTTGCGTCAACAGATTTAACTGACCTCTTGCGGGTGAAAGTCTATTGGCTTCCGATACCTAAAAGAACAAGTTAATCCCGTTAGCTTTGTTAATTCAAATCTAGCAGATTCAGTAAATTACAAGTGGTCCTTCACTACCTTCAGAGACAGCCTTTTCCAGGGATGAGATAGTGTGGAGTGCACAAAGAGACGTTAGTAGAGATGGTGCCGTGAGTGGGGGATTTCGCGCCACTCTCCACAATCTGAACTTCTGGAACGGATTATCTCATGGATAATAGGATGCACAAAGTAAGCAAACGCGGGTGGAAATCGCCGCGAGACACAGGAAAAAGAGACACTCGTTGGCGAGACACAGGAAGAAGAAAAAGTGAAGGTCCCTCATACATTTCTCTTCTTCCTGCTTGTCTCGCCTGTCCTTTCTCGCAGAGCCCGTACGCGCTTGCGTATTTCGTGAGCCCTAATGAGGGGCTAGTCGTAGCACACGGAACCAGTGGACCCACAAAAAAATCTAGAACTTCTCTGTTTACAAACAAAACCTGCCTACTTACAGTTCTATGCAGGCGGGACCCGGCTTGAACTCATCTTGTTCCATGAATGTGGAACATCTCGTACTGAAGATGTCCTTTTTGGGTTTGGAGTGCCACGTTTCTATGGGCTGGAGAAACAGAACTACACATTTTGCACTTTTTACAACAGTTTCAGGATGAAAGTTTAGGTTTGGTGCCACCAACAAACATTCAGCGTTACCATGCCAACAATAAAGTAGCAACCTTACAAAGTGCATATTTGAACATCTCCCGGCACATATCTCATTGCATGCAAAATTTGAGTGGGGGTCAAAATTTTCCTTTCAGTATGACATGACCCTACCAAATTTGTATTTCCAAGTGTCTTTTCTCTCATAGGACGATTTTCCCTAAAATTAGGTCAGAATCACACCCCAAGATTGCAAAAAGTCCATCACTTTCTTCCTCGACTTGCGATAAAGATATAGGGAGGGAAGAGTATCCTCTTAAGTTTGTCGCAGGCTATATCAGTTCAGTGTTCAAACTCTAGTTCCGTATTCTTGATCATGTGGCGTTTATTTAATAATCCCAGTCGTGAGTCTATACCCCCTCCATATTTGGTGTAGTTCTGAAAACCCAGAGTGCCAGAAGTAGTTCTTTTGCGTGCTGATTTTTCGGCGTCGGCCGAGGGCTGGCAGATCTTCTGCCAAAAGCCGAAGCCACTGGCGGCGAATGATCAAATGAATCCAAAATTGAAAATCACATGTAAATTTTTCATTTTCAATTTGTATCATATTGATTGACATTTAAATGGACAAAAACCACACGGAAGGTGAAGGTCCCTCTAAAGTTTTCCTGTTCAATGATCAAGTTTTCGTTCATTGGCGACTATTACAATTTATATGATATATTTTGGAGCCGAAATTCGATAGAACGAAATTAGCCCTCCTTTGAAATAAGCACCTTGTCTCTAGTGTCTCATTTACGATAAGTGAAACTGAAATCGAAACTAGTAACCCCCAGATCCTGAGATTATGCCGTTTTGAGCTCAGACGGAAGTGTAGTGGATTCTCGGGCAGGGATTTTCAAGCGCTCGGATTAAAAAATGTACTGGAAAGGGGAATCAGAAAAATTCTCCCTTTCGCAAAACGTTAAATTGCATCTAAAATTATCGGGAAAATAATACTCAAGCCCTTGTAATTTCGAAAAGACTCAAGTTCCCCTAGGAAATTTCCCCTTTTCCCCTGGCAACAATGAGCGTGAGCCCCGGCTATACTTTTGAGAGAAAACAAAACGAAAATAAATAAATGAATAAAATGATTTGGAGGTAGCACATCCCGGAACAAAGTGGTTCTTCGTCTACCTGATTCCTGATCGAATTGGAATTTGGAAATGTTGGTTTTTGGGGAGATGGGAAAACCGGAGTACCCGGAGAAAAACCTCTCGGAGCAAAGGAGAGAACCAACAACAAACTCAACCCACATATGGTGTCGACGCCAGGATTTGAACACGGACCACATTGGTTGGAGGCGAGTGCTCTCACCACTGGGCCATCCCTTGCTCTCCAAATATATTATAAACGACTTTTTAGCTCTTCATTTTCCACCTACTAACTGCATTTACTTGGCAGCTCGAAATCTTAGGGGAAGCCCCAGAGAGGTTCTGAGCCACTTTAACATTGACAACTATAGACCCTTTCAAGCTTTTTTTAACCTTTGACATCGACCAGTTAGCGAAAAATCCATTCACACCGCTAAAAAAAAGAGGCTAAACAAAAGTAGAATTGCGACGTTTGAGAGTTATTTGTTGAAAAAGGACGAAGACATCACCGTTCAACTTGGCAGGGCAACGTTAGGGCTCTCTTTTCGGGGGTGTCGACGAACTAAGCAATAGAAAACGTTTTCCGTGTTTGCATAGCCTGATATAAACTCGAGAGGGGTTAGGAGAATTCGAGACAGTTGTGCAAACCCGAGACGAAGTCGAGGGTTTGCATAACTGTGTAGCATTCTCCCAACCCCTCCAGTGTTTACATAAGGATATGCAAACACAGGAAAAAAGTTTTCTGTTGGTTTTAAAATAACTTTCCCGAGAAAAAAAGCAAAACTCTTTTGTTTAGGGCATTGATTAAAAGAGAAATTCTGACCAGTCGCGAAGTCTTGTACACGAAGCTTGAACGCGTAATCAGTCTTTGTTTTGCAAAAAAATGCTTTCCGAAATACGGGTTTTTCTCGCTTAAAAAGTCAGCTCAAGCGAAAAAAAATTGACACAGCATTTTTCCAAAGATTTCTCAAGTTTCAACTCAAAACCTTTTTCAAATATGTGCTTGCGTGATTAGCGCACGAAAAGCAAAACATCTTGACGTCACAACCATGTTTACATACTCTCATGCAAACACACCTCTCGGCCTATCAGAGCGCGCGTACCATCTTAGTTATTTTATAATAAAACATATTGATTTATATCGCTTTCTCTCATTAAAATTTCAAAATAAGTTTCAAAAGTGTGAAGTAGTAAATAAATACTCGCATAAAATATATTTCATTTCCCATACACACCCAATACATAAACCAATATTCCAAATATTCCTAGTTAATATCAATAGACTTTTTTAGCTTGTACGTTTTTTCCCATTTCAGACCACAGAGGATTGTTTCTTTCAAACTTCATCCACGTGCATATGTGCGCATAATTTATGAAAGGACAAAAGGCAAGATCCCTAAAAAATACCACATGGCCTGAATTAAGAAAACAAAACTTACAAGTTAAAAAAGTCTATCACTTTGCAATTGTCCTCAAGTATAAAATAATACGGGCCATGTTCTCTTGGAGTATGTGAAGACCATGTGGTTTCGTAAATAATCCCTGTAGTCAAAGTCTGTAAGAATTAAAACTGTTTGTTTGCCGTTATTGAGGCGAAAATCGGCGTTTGAGTTGGAACTGAAAAGACAAAAATCGAGCAACCTGAGATGGGTTGCCTGTGTCTAAGGTTTAACAACCTGGGTAACCTGGATGGCAGAAACATCATAACAACTGCAAAAGCAGCATTTTGTCTTCGTAATTTGATTACTCGTGAACACGATTATTTTGTCCCATATTCAATGAAACCATACTTCAAATTCATTGTCAGCCCACAAAACGGGCTGGATACTATAATGTTATCTTTGTCCATAAACATTAATTTCAAATTCTTCATCCACATCGTCATTTTCTGCAGCATCATTTCCTGACAACAGCTCCTTTAATTCAGTGCTACCACTTTTCAGTTCTACCATCTGCTGTCCATTCAGTTTTGAACTATCTGAGTCTGAAACGAAAAAAATCAGTGTTGAGAGCGCAATTTCAATTCCATAGGGGGATAGCCTGCGTAGCACGGCTTGAGAGAATTGTAGTATGGCCAAAAAAAAAAAAAAGAAAGGGTGCACGAGGGAGACATGCGAGGGAAGAGGGTCCACCAGCAGCCCAGGAGGCTAACAAAAATTTTTGACAGATCACTCAGTGTTGCCAAGTTTTCGGGAAAGAAATATGTCATGCTTAACTTGATTATTTGTTATTAAATATTAATTAGAAAGTGACATTTGTAGCGCGACGAATTTAGATTTCCTGACATGAGATTAGTAACGCTATAATTTCGCCACCCACCTCTTGTTGCCTTTGTAACTACATGCACACTTATTCCCATCAGGCAAAGCACGAGACCAAAAAAATTGACAGTTGTCATCTTATCTCCAGCAAATTCAGTGGCAAGAGATAATGTGCACACTTCCTGAAGAAGGTAAGGTAAGAGGTAGAAAACACGTAAGTCCTAACAGGAGAGCCTTTCGCGAATGGCCTGGGAATACAGGTGTCTCACAGGTGCCTCTCATCACTCTCTGTCTCTAAGGATGGAGCAAGTGCCTACCCTGAATAACAAGTTCTGTTTCAAGTACCTCTCTCCCTCTCATAGAAAAGTCGGAGCACAGTTGGCAACAGGTTACCCCAGCAATAAACCCATCCTTCTGTACAGTAGCGTGTCCCAGTGACAGGTCGCAGCGACAAATCATGTCAAGTGCACTGTAGAAGTTCTGTGAAAATATTTGTCTCCGTGACAGAATTTACTCACCGTGGCAAACTGCACAAATTTAAACTAATTTCATTTTGTGCCACTTGTTTCAGAGTCAAAACTGGGTCAAGGAGACAAAGATGTCTCCAAACCTTCTTCAGTAAACACGAAGCAATTTACTACTGCTGATGTGTTGCTGTGGCGTGTCATCCCAATGTGTGGTAGCCACATGTTGCCTAATGTGTTTTGACCTTAAGGGTATCCTATTCAATAAAGACTGGGTTTCATTAGTAGAGAAAAACTTTCATTTACTTACTATAAAACATACTCTAAAAGTGAGTCAACACCCAGCTGCCTGGGGAGGTGAGGGGTATGCAACAAATGTTTATACAGGGAGTCTCCACCCTGAGGTCCAACCCTTTACGCTTTTATATATCATTTTTCACGAAAAAGGTGTCTCTTTCGCATACCTTCTATTGACAAATGGTACCTCTTTCACAAACCTTGTTTAGAACTTTGCATTCCTTTCAACTGCTGTAAATCATCGATCAATCACTAAAATAGAACGTTCCCCGACTTTTAAAAGCCATTAAATTCATCTGTCAGCCCTTTTGGACCCTTAAAAAGACCCAAATGACAGATTCCCCTACCCTATTATATACTTCAACAAGTAAAATCTCTACCCTTTCATGTACCTGAAGCCTGAAAAAGGTACCCCTTTCAGGCAGAGCCTCCCTATATAGGTCATTACAGAGAGTACCCCTCCCCCCCCCTCCAGGCCCACAGGGGATCAGTTGGCAAAACAATAGATATCAAACAAAGTTCAGAATGAAAAATAAAAGAGGTGTGACATATAGGGGTCCACACAGCTCCTAGTGAGGGGATATGTCTTTCCAGAGAATGGGCATAAAACATACTTAAACAATGGCTATTGGAGCTTACCTTAAATATTCCTGATATGGAGAGTGTTAAGCTTGATGTATGAGAAAGCAGCAGAAATTCGGAGACACTGATCATGAAGGCCAGAAAACAGCCAAACATCACCATGGAGATAGTCATCCAAAGGGTGTGGCCATCAGGAGCATTGAAGAGCTTTGGTGATACAGCTAAATGTTGTCCTAAAACAACAAGGCAGTCAACTTGAGTAGCAGTTCTGGTGCGATTGAGCATTCAATTCAAAAAGCAAATATATTTACACTGGTGTCTACCACCATCACTTTACCACAATGTACTAAATAATATAATATACAACTGCAGTTTAGGTGTCAAAAGCTTTTGTATTTTAATACTATTAGCCAGAGAAAATTTAAAGTGGTGAAAAAATGACGCATACTGCTTTAAGCGCAGACTACATGTACATTGCAGCTCTTGTAAGCATTTGCCAATGAGCAAATAGTAAATAATGTGTACTGACCAATCAAAATGTAGATTTAACTTTTAATATTTTTGTAATTTAAATAATTGATTTAATGTCAGTAAAAATACTTTTGGTTTGCCAATTAAGTTAACACCTCATAAATTAACATAAGTAAATTACTGTATCATTGACTGCAAACTTTAAAAGTTAAGTGGCTGCAGGCAAGTTGTGTTAAAAATAGAAAACCTACCTTCAATGTAAAATGCCAAGGGCATCAATGTTAATGTCATGAATGGTTGCAAATGATACAGTGTGTCAAGGGGATTATGGAGACCTAAAAAAATATTATTTGAAGCCAAAATAAGCTACAGTAAAAAGTGTAAGAAAAATTTATGTTTTTTCGCCATGACTTTTAACTAACTCCTACCTAATTCTTGCTTTTGAGTCAAAATTTGTGCTAATGTCCACCTCAGACCACTCAGTCCTGATGCAGTGAGAGCCTTGAGAAAAATTAAAATTAAACAAAAAATACAATGATTTAAACTTTATTAGACTTAGCCCTGAAAGCCCCAGCATCCAGATAAAAAATTCTCCAGACTGATCTCCACACATTCCACACAATTAGATCAGAAAATTTGATCAAAGATCAATAGATTTCCCCTTTGGAGACCACTTCAAAGAAAAAACGAAAAGTTGCAAAGAATTTCGTCAGTTTTACAACTTGCCATTTGGGCAACGTGCAGCTAGGATGTACTCTTAACAAGCCCAAAAACAGAAACTGTATTATGAGCAGGATTAATTAACTCCACCCCCGCCCCCCACAAAAATATTCACTTACCAACTGAGCAAGCTAAGAAAAGGTATAGTGAGCAGCAATAACAAAATCCCGTAGCCCTTTGCTTTCAGACACTACCTTCTTTGCACAATGATATCTCATCACTTTTTCTCTTTATTCTGTGTTGACAATGATATATATATAAAAAAGGATTTTGGACACTCTAGGGACTGACAACCTCAGCTGTAAAGTACCTCGCTTCACTGGCAAATTTTACATGTCAGTGTGAGACATTTCAGAAATAACTCATTATAAAAGTGGAGAAACTTTCTCTAATGTAGACCATAGTTAATTTAAGTGGAATGGTTGGGGAACCCTTCGTTATAAGTTTTTGCTAGCTTTTTTGGACCTGACAGTGGACAACGTTCCATAGCATTCCTATCATTTTGAACTTTCTGACCAACGGAAACATTGCATTCATTTATTTTGTGAACAAAAAACAAAGGATTGTGCACGGTCAAGGAGCTTCCAACATAAACTACAGCACTATTGTTTTCAACTTTGATTTTTTCTGGCTTTAACCAACTATGTATAGACTGAAAATTGTAAACTTACTAAAACGAATCCCTCTGCATTAAAGTCTGTGGACTCGAAAGTAAAGAGGAACAAGCCACTTGCTATCAACAGAATGATGGCTACTAGAGAAAAGTTCTGTCAAAGGAAACAAGACAAAAAAAATATGGTTTTATTCACTCGTGACCTTGCCAAGACAAGTATGATGGCAACATAAAACAATGTGAATATTCAATGATAATAATAACGTTAATAAAAAACTGGCGTAATTTGAATCCCAGTAACTCAAACCACTGAGGAAATAAAGCTTTTAGTCACAATTGACAGGAAGTTACAGTGAAATTCAACTTCATTAAATTGGATTAGTTTTCTCTCAAATGCATTGTAATGCATCCTGCTACCACAGAAACATCACAAAACAATAAACTATCACAAAGAATCTAACTTTTCAGAAAGAAGAAAAATTCTTTGAGAAAAAGTTATATTGTATTGACCACCAACATGGCCGGCTTGTCACATGGTTGTAAACCAAAAATAACAAGGCTTCAAAAATTATCACGGTTCCTTTCTGTTTTTTTTTTTCTATTAGTGACATAACATGAATTAAGTTTTTTTTTTATTCTGGGGACTTTCAAAGACATTGCTTAATTGAGGTTGCACTGTTGCACACCACCTTAAGTTTATAATTACACCAGCTCTCTTGCCTTCTCCAGGAGTCTGCTGAATACAGTATGAATCAAGTTGAACTTATCTATGCTTTATTTGGGAACTTAGCCCACTTTTCCCAAAGACCAACTGTTTTTTATTCATAGTATGGTTTCTGAGGTCATTACAGTCTGGAAGCAACTTATGGTGTTCTCTTTACCTCATAATAAATATGCTATAAAAGACTTCCTATAAGGTCCTGTGCCACATCCATCTAAGTTGAGGGATGGGTTGATTTGTTTTTGTTGCAGGGGGGAATGGTGGGTGGTTGTTTATCACGTAAAAAGTACGAGTTTTGAGAAAAAAAATAATGTTGGGTGCTAGTTATTACAAAGTATATAATCCTCTCTTGAACAAACTGATGAATACTTAAAGACCAAGACACTGTCATAACTTGACTTTGAACAGTACTATTAGTTTTTTACTCATAATTCAGTAACTTCTATTTGAACCTACCCATTGCTCCAAACCAAACAAAAGTGCAAACATCAGAATGAAAATAACGCTAGTGGATTTTGTCATTGTATACCTACAACACAATATGAGTTACAGGTTATAATAACAATAATAATAGTAATGATAATAATACTGTTACTGACAACAACATGAAATTAACATGAAATCAACAATGTCTAAGCATAATAATATTGTTTGCAGGGGTACATCTGAACAATAATAATATTATTCAGATAACAAGTACAATGCAAGCAGTCAAAAAGTAAACGTGCAAAATGTTCACTTATAAATCTCAAAACCTTTATAAACACTGATATGGAAGTGAGCAACAATATGATTACTTAATGATGCTATGAACTAGAATGAAGTTACAGTATCTAGGGCTCTAAAGTATAAGGTGCTGAAGATGATAACATGTACTGTATAAAGACTGTTCCTTCAAGTAAATGAAAAAATGACTTACAGTATTCATTACCAAAACAATATTAACGAATTGCATAAAAACTTTTAAAAAACATTTTCAGAAATTTTAAAAGAGTTAAAAAAGTATTATGACATCTCGGACATCATTATCACGTAAAAAAAAATTACAGTACGAATGTTCTATAAATACAATAGAATAATTTATTATTAATTTATTATCGATTTAATAATTCGTTAAAAAGAAAAATAACATAACAAAATATGTTACAAGTTGAACAGAGTTTAGCACTGATGGAGTCACTCTGAGAACCCTGTGACTCCTTAAAGAGCACAGTGGTGCAAAAAAATTATTTTGACTGTGAAATTTTATAATCATTTACTACAAAATAAATAATTCATTGCGTAATAATACTCAAACAAATAATTAAGCACAAAACAATAGTAGAAAACATTAGGTTTTATAACTGTGATTTTAAGCTCGGAATAGAATAAAGTGCTTCGAAACAAACCATTGCAGGGCTGATCAAAATACATTATTTTTACTTTTACTCGTACTTGTTATTAAACAATTTTCTCCTAACAATTTCCATACATTGGCAAGAGAAAAGGTTAGGAGAATTAACAAATGATCACCAAAGAGAAAATGACTTGATCTTTTATTAAATTCTTTCAACTAATTCTTAAAGAAAATGTATGGAGATCAGTTTGGAGAATTTGTCTGTTGATATTGGGACTTGAAGGGTTAATAAAGCTTCAAAACATCATAACAAAATAATACAATCAATTTCAATACAAGCAGGAGGGGAACATAATTATGTTACAGGTGAAACTTAAATTCAGATAACATTTTTAACCAAGGTTGATTCTCTATTTCCTTTCTCTCTTACACTGTAGCCCTAATTCATGAATAATTAGGCCTAGAAGACAACAGCAATTGAGAATCAACCTACATGTACACTGTGCATGTACGTCAAAAGATTTCAACCTGAATTTCATTCTGACGTGTAACACATACACGGCTAAAAAAAATTAGTGCATTCTAGCTTGTCCTTTAGGCAAGCAACATTACTCTTACTTTCTGTTGCCCAGGGCCAAATCTTGCTTGCCTTGGTTAATGATTTTGTTAGTGAATTCTGCTTTAATAGTTGCAATGTACTAGCCCAGCACGAAAATCTACCTATCCCGGACTACAGGACAGGAATTTTTTTTAAGCCCTGATAGTTCCAGGAGGAGCTCAGCAGTTTAAAGTATTAATGCATTCTTTTGTAAACCCTGGATACAAGCCTCAGTTCTTCAAAAGCCAATTAGAATAAGTACAATGTTCAATAAACTTTTGACCCACTATCATGAAAACATATAATTATTACTATAGGTTTCACATACTTTAACAAGAAAAAACCTACGGGGGGGTCAAGGTTGGCATTCATCCACAATTACAAGGCAAGAGTTGACCATAGAACAAATTTGATACTTACAATGATACTGTTATAAACATCAGACTCCAGTTTGAGCAGCCAATATCCAACGCACAGGCCATTGCTGAAAGATAAGTCACATTCATTTTGCATTAATCAGCACTGTAAAATATCACAATCTCAGAAAGCATCACCTCCATCAGAATTAACTCTGAGCCTGGCTTTAGTCACCCCTATAAAACTTGACTAGTAAGTTGATATTCTTCTGTTCCCACCCCCATCAGAGTTGTTCATGAGCCTGGCTTCAGTCACCCCTATAAGATTCAACTTAGTTGATGTTCTTCTGTTCCCACCCCCATCAGAATTGATTGTGAGCCTGGCTTTAGTTACCTCTATCAGATTTGATTGAGATAATCTCCTGTACCCCGCCCCATCATGTCAGGCTTGGTTGAGCCTTTCACTAGTACCACCCCTCAATTTACACAATCATTTAACAATTTAATAAACTTAACCATAAAGTCCTAGGAATTATCAACATCAATTACTCCCAACAATTTCAATACATAATCAAGAAACAGGTCATGAGATTGAATAAATGATCGACCACTAGAAAATGCTTTGATCCATTAACAAATTCTCACAACTAATTTCTTTAGGGAAATGTGTGGAGATCAGCTCAGACTTAATAAATGTATGTGGAAATTGGGGCTTAAAAGTTACTAATTTTAAGTATCTCACCTGTGGGAAGAACTCTTTTCATGTAAACAGACCAGGGAAGAACTACTCTTTGTTTCCCAGTTTTTACCTCCCATAACAATCTCAATAAGGCAGCAATAATAAAGACCAGAGCATAATGCACCACCGTGACACTCAAAGGAAAATGAAATCTCTACAGCAGGGATCAAACAGAAATAACTGCATTTAGAAAAATATAGCAAAGGATTGTTGCTTCAGACTTTAAATACATGTACAGGACAGTGATCTTGATTAATGGAGTAAAATATGACTTTGTGTTGATCTTTTTCACTTCTTCATAAAATAATGATTATCACAGCTAAAGTGACTTTACAGTTATCAGGGCCCAGGGTATAATTTTCCAATTCAAGATGCGGGTGCTAATTCAAAGCGGAATGCTTATTTTGGTTACTTAAATTTTGGCTTCAAAATAACATTGACTTTACTTCCAGTAAACATTGTAAACACTGCAACAGTCAACTAGAACAACCTTTAGCTAAGTCTGTCTCTCGTTAATTTTAAGTCCTGTGACCTCTAACTTCCACAACAGGAGTTGATTACCTGAGTACTTGGCTCCTGTCTTTACTTTATATTGAACGATTTTTTTTATCTTGATTTTGGTGAGAGTTGGAGGACTTTGTTATAATAGATAGAGGTTCATTATATCGAGGTTCCACTGTATCTCACTTGAATCAAATTGTACTACATTTAACACACAATATCGCAGAGATAAGTTAATTATGGATTGTAACCAGGACCACTTAGACAAAGTTGACCAATCGGATTAAAGGAAAATAACAATACATTCCAAGAAAGTTCATCGAGGGCCAATCAGCAGCTCTTAAAAAAATAGTAAGCTACTTGGAGCACAAAATTTAAATATTGATGGCCAATGTTTTTCAAGAAAGCAAAATGTTTCACCAGACAATGTTTTGCTATTCGAAAATTTACATTATAACACCCAGGAGATAATTATTTTCTGTTTTAGCTAAGCTGCTATTTTGTCATCACAATTTCTTTGCTACCATTGCTGTGCTTTGCAATAAAATCACAACCTCAAGTCAAAAATGTAACTGACGTTTTCCTGTTGTTATCTCTGTCATTCACTCTAATGGTCCTCTCACGAAACATGGGCTTACTTCAGCACGTTCAAAAGGTGGGTGGCATCTGTAGGTAATGTAATTTAGGTTGATTGCAATCCATGTTGTTTATTTCGTTTCATGGTAATTGTTTGAAAAATAACTTTCTCAGAAATTATGTATTGTTATCTTCCTGTAATCTGACTTGTCAACTTTGTCTTGGTGCAACCTTTTTCATAATAGTCGCACTGTAATACATTTATCTAGCTGCTTGAAATATAATGACTGCAGCAGATTCTGAGTCAGAATAAAAGAAAAATGTTTCATTTGTTGGTTAGTTATTAACAAACCCCAGGCCAACCTCTAATCAGGGGGGAACCTCTATTCAATGGACACTTGCCTTGGTCCCGAGGGTGTTCCCTGAATAGAGGTTCCACTGTATAATTTTAATCTTTTGTTCCTATTTAATAAATTTTCCTTCGATTTTGGGCACACAGTTATGTGTCACAGTGATATCGAATTTAAAACAATGAAAAATAAAATTTGAAGTAAGGGAAAGTTTGAGCCACAATATATCAACTTTGCTTCTTGGTACTGTAAGGGCGCTTTCCAAAAGTCAGAACTGGCCGGCTGGACCATGGCCGCACCGGTCATTTTGAAAATGAAGTAGGCTTTTTCCATGAGTTTTTGATGAAAAACGATTTCCTTCGTGCATACTATTTGGGATTTGACTGATCTGGCTGGATAGCTTTGATTAAAGGTAAAATTCTCATTACGAAGGGAATGTCCTGGCCTGTCAGTTCTGACAAATGGAAAGCGCCCTAAGTTTCCATAATTTTCATCTTAAATAAATTGACCACAAACCTTTAAAAGCCATCTGTTGTAAAATGTCAAACTGATGGAGAAAATGTACATGAACAAGATGTATCCAAGAGTCTTTAACACTCTTCTCAACTGCTGAAAACCGAAGACTTTGTTCGCCATGAGCACGATTAGCTGTAAAGATCGCGAGATCAAAATTGGCAACTCACAGAAGTGAGAGATGTCTTGGTGACGTGGCTGGATTAAATGAGCACAAATTCACAGTGGTCGTCGATTTTGTGCACTGAAAAGCACTTTTGACAGGCTTACATGAGTTCATTTCTAGTTGTAAAGAATTACTTTGGTTCATAAGCTTGATATAAACAGGAGAACATTGTGAGATCCCACACAACACAAGGAGAACTTTTCGGCAACCATCTTGCTTGGTAACCTCTCGCTTCCGGCACAACGTGACACAACGCCGGAAGAATTGTGCCGGGCTTATTACCCTCCCCTTCCTTGATACAATTTCCCCTAAAAAATGAAAAATTTTCGATGATCTGCTTCGGTTAAGGTGGCTCCGTAATTAATACTAGAGCATTTTGCTGTGACAAATTTTCCGTCATAACTTTTTGGTTCTTAACGCGATGACTGCGAAACTTTGCTAAGAACAACATATATCATTCGGCAACAATACGAAATATTCCGATTTCATTGATGGTAAATATTTCTTGAGAAATTAGCGCTTAAAAGGACCCTACTGTTCGAAGAAAATCGCGTCTACTAAAAAAATTTGCTGATATTTTTTACTGAAATTTCTGGTATCGGCCTTAATTGATATAATAAATATGCCAGAGGAATTTCAGAAAAATCGTTGGAGCAGAAGTCCGTAACTAAAAGTCGCTCAAAATTCAGCTGTGAAATTGTTTTGGAATTTCAAAAATAAATTACTATCAGGTAGAAGGAGCCACCAGTTTGAATTTTCGGAACAAGTAACTTCAACGTTTGCTAATTCTTAAAACAAAAGCCGATTGCCTATAGTGCTATTCTTTAAAAGGTACTTTTTAGTTTTAGAAGCACCATAAATTGCTCCAAACCTTGCTCTGAAGTAGAATGACTTGTTCTTCGACATTTTTAAAATATCCCTTTGCAGTTTTGGCTCAAACTCCTGCTGCATACATTTTGATGTATTGCAATTCATTTTCAACGACTTTTACTGCTGTTCGTTGCTTCCAACTCAGGAAAAAAGTATTGAGATTGGACGCTACCTCGTATCAGAGCTCAGATAGAACTGTCCAGCACCTTTGTTTATGACTACAAAATGAGCACGAGCGGCAGTTCTGCGAGGAATTCGCACCTCACCGAGGGGGGACGAACGACAGTGATGACCAAGCCTGTGAACCGAATAACATCACAGTGCAAAATAAAATTATCGCAAAAATACTGCCCGTGAATAAATTTACAACTCTGAAATTTTTGTCACTCCTTCCTTCAATGAATGGGTATTTTTTTCTTGATTATTATGTTTTGCTCTGCAATACATGTTTATACAGATCGGTTCACAGACATGGGTATCATTATCATTCGTCCCCCCTGGCTGAGGTGCGAATTCCTCGCAGAGCTGCCGCTCGTGCTCATTTTCTGGTCATAAACAAAGGTGCTGGACAGTTCTATCTGAGCTTCGATACAAAGTAGCTTACAATCCCAATACCTTTTTCCTGAATTGGAAACAACGTACAGCAAGAAAAGCCGTTGAGGATGCATTGCAATACATCAAAATGTATGTAGCAGGAGTTTGAACCAAAACTGCCAAAGGATATTTCAAAAATGTCGAGTAACATGTCATTCGACGTCATAGCAAGGTTTGGAACGATTTATAGTGCTTCTAAAACTGAAAAGTACCTTTTAAAGAATAGCACGATAGGCAATCGGCTTTTGATTTCAGAATTAGCAAACATTGAATTTACTTGTCCCGAAAATTCAAACTGGTGTCTCCTTCTTCCTGATAGTAATTTATTTTTGAAATTCCAAAACAATTTCACAGCTGAATTTTGAGCGACTTTTAGTTACGGACTTCTGCTCCAACGATTTTTCTGAAATTCCTCTGGCATATTTATTATATCAATTAAAGCCGATACCAGAAATTTCAGTAAAAAATATCAGCAAAATTTTTTACTAGACGCGATTTTCTTTGAACATTAGGGTCCTTTTAAGCGCTAATTTCTCAAGAAATATTTACCACCAATGAAATCGGAATATTTCGTATTATTGCCAAATGATATCTGTTGTTCTTTGCAAAGTTTCGCAGCCATCGCGTTAAAATCGAAAACGTTATGACGGAAAATTTGCCGCAGCTAAATGCTCTTGTATTAATTACGGAGCCACCTTAATGGCTGGCAGTTTGCTGTAATTTAGAACTGCATCTTTGAAAAGATAGCACTATAACTTTGTAAAAACATGTTTACAGTTTTTTTTTAAGTTCTCCCCCAACCAAACGCGTTTTTTGTTGTAGTTGTCTTGCTTGTTGTTTTTGTTGTTTTTTTTTAACAATGATAACAGGGTCCATATTTAGTGAAAGCAAAAAAACATCGTGCGGGATCGGTTGCGGGTATAAATTTCCCCTGTTTCTTCGCAAAAAATCCCCAAAGAATCACACTGACTTGTTTTAATGCGCCCGCGGTTCTTGCGGCATCTAAAAAACCAATCAGCGCCCTGCATATGATTTGAGTGGCGCGAGCTGTGACGTACCTGCCACTATATAACGACGCGTGTGTTGACGAAATCTTTCAGTTTGCTTGTGAAAACCACGCAGACTTGACTTACGTTACTTTGAACAAACATTTAATCATTATGGGTTGTACTTTTAGTAAAAAACACGTCCGGCGCTTCTCAAAGAAGCAAAAGGTGAGCAAAAGTCCACTGCTAATGATATTTGTTCAGAATATGAACAAAACTTGTTATTTTACCTCCGTTTCTTTCTTAAAAAGCGTTTCAGTTTTGTCAACCTTTATCCATTGTGACGTCATAAAGGGGTACACGCCATTTTAATTCAAATGCGCGAGCTTGCGCGCGTGTCAAGTGACTGCAATGCTTTGGAGACAACTTGATTGAAATAAAATCTATGATTTACAAAAACAACAACGAATATTTTGCTTCCATATTATTTATCACATTAAGCCATGGGATATGTTTGAGTTATACAAACAAGTAGTTCGGGCAATAAAATTTTAAAACATTACATAGCGATATTCACGCCCACAAGCACTATTGATATTAGTGTACCAACCAAAAGCGCGTTGTTTCTAATGAAGAAAGATTCTATTTTTTCACTCGTTACAAATTTGAATAACAAAACTAATGTTTTTAAACACTGGTGTCGCCTATTGCTGACATTTACAGGAAAATGTAAACACGTACTGTCGGCCTATTATGACTCTCTCTAAAATGTCTCCAGTAACTTTCTACATTTATGCCTCAAACTCATTAATAATTCATAAAGAAAATACAAAGGAAATTAATGTTCAATGAGTGTTTTGAAATCAGATGAAAAACTGTTTATTTTTCAATCCTTAATTTCTCCTTCTAAAATCGTTTTGTTTGAGAAGTAATATCAAGCATTTCCCGGTGTACAATTTAACTCGCTCCCCATGGATGATCTGACCGCTGCGCTCTACTATTTGAACGCCTGGAACAGGCTACAGGTGAAACTGACCTCGAAGTTCGTCAAATACTCCGCTGAGCCCGTGTCGTTTTTTCAACTCTCTTCTCAGTGTTTTATCTGATGAAACACTGACTTACATAACAAAAAACGGCAATAAATGAACATTTTCAGAGGGATTTACGTTCACGCATGTTCAAAATTTTGGGGACAACGACGACCGGGCTAAATTAAGGGTCGGGTAGGCACCTCATTATAAATTGTGGACACCCTGGAAAACCGGCAGCAGTTAAATCCCCACCCCACCAACCAAAAAACTCAGACGTTTGAATGAAATAATCTCCCGTCATTAGGGATTCGCGCTATTAAGGGCACTAAAAATTCCCCGTCCAAGGCGAGGCCAGTTTCTGTTAGAGAGGGCGGTGACCGAATGCACATGTAAGGAAGAAGTAGCTGAGTAATGTGGGGTCAAAGAGAACGACTAGAAAGGGAAACGAGACACTCCCAACCATCGCCAAAACGTGCTTCGGGCCTGTCTTCAGCTTAAACTTTAAAAATGCTGTAGATAATTACGCGAGCACTATGTCGCAGAGCCAACTCAATGTACCACTGAGGATTATTTCCTTCGTTAATTGAACCCCTCGGTATAAAGAACGGCTTTCTTCCTCCAGTAATTGATAAGGAAGGAAAAACATAAAGACCTCGTAATGGCAAACAATTTCAAGGTTGCACTGTCAAGTCGTGGTCCTTCAGTCGGTGGAAGATGATTTCCTTACATACCAGGCATAGATTAGATGAAGGCGACGCACCAGAGACGATAAGAGTGAGATCGCATTATTTAGCTGACTTACGTTAAAAATATAACCTAGGAAAATCTCACTAAGCCTTAGTCCTCAAGGGGGCAAAAAATACACGGACCACCATGGGAATTGATAGCCAAACGATAGCCACTGGAGTGTGATTAAAGAGGAGCAGTCCCTCCCTCGCACCCAGACGTCTCTCTCTCTTTCCATGGTCCATTGCGCGTCGTCACCAGTCACTCGCGTTTCGAGCTTTGCGAAACCATGCGAGAAACGAAGCGCCTGAGGAAGAGGCCTAAGAACAGTTCTTTGTCTCTTGTTCGCCCTCGTCCCCCTCGCCTTACGTCTGTTATCATCATTATTCTAAGGAGCATCTATCACCTTGGTCCCGGTTGTTTAAACGTTATATAGCGTTATAAACTGGATAAATCTCTATGCAGGGAATATAAGTATATAAAAATAAATTTCACCAATTCTATCCAGTGATTAGCCCAATTTAGACTAAATTGCCTTCCCCTAATAATCTAGCTCTGATTAGCGTTATCCCTCTTGTGAGCAACTGGGGCCGATCGAATGGTATTCTTTCTGGTCAGGCCGAACTACTGGTCATTTTCTGGGAACGGGGTTCTCATTTCGAACATAAAGTTGAAAATGCAAAGTTTATTTTCTCGGCCCACTCAAATCTTCACACTGAATGCTTGCCAAATACTGAACAAACTTTAGATTAATCAGAATCATTTTAATCACTGATGTTCTAAACCCGGATGTGAATATGAATATTGATTTAATTCTATTTGTTCTTCTAAGATTTATCGCCGATCTGCCTCCATCGACTCCGAGGCAGCGGTAAGCTCCTGGCAAGTTAAGAACAACGTAACCATGGCACGGATGCCCGCCGGCCATAAGTCGCAGACAGTAAGACCTGCAGCCATGAAATGCACCAAAGCCTTTGAAGGCTTGGCTCAATTTACATCCCTTACTTTCATGGCTGCCCATAAAGATAAAGATTTCATGCCAGAATGCATAACTTATGAAGGTAAAGACCCTTTAAAAACCCTTTTCAAAACCTCCTTTTAGCATATTATACAAAGTGCATGTATCTAACAAAGTTCATGTTAAATTCTTTTACTTTTTTTTCAAGGTTTTCACAGCCATGGTTACCACGTAGTGACCATCAAGGCCAAACAATACAGTCAGGTTGCAAACACCATGCGAGCAGAGTAAGTACATTTTGATGTTCCTTACGCTCCTAACGCCAACTGCAAGCACTACAAAGGGCCTGAACACTGGGGCCAGCCGTAATCCTCCACGCAGCCGTTTCTGTATTGTCACGCAAGAATCTTGGGAAAAACCGTTGCGTGAACGGGACAAAAAGGCTGCGTTGAAGACTAGGTGAACCATTAATCGCAACCCGTGGGAAAACTCTGAGCCATATTCGTTGAGCTTATTAGCCAGCGCGACAGGCGTTACCCAAATTCCCCTGTCCCCCTTTTAACGCCTGTCACGCAAGATATGAGCTTACCAACTTATCAAATCTACTAAAATAGCGCTGTAGACTACGGGCAATCTCTCCCTTTTTTCTTAGTTCGTGAAATGAAAAAGAAACGTCACAAACTTTTGGCCACGCCCGAGACTTCTCTTACATGTACTGACTTTTTTATCTACTCTTTGTCTTAACACAGCTGTATCCCAGGTGCTTTGCGGACGCTTACCGCGCCCGGAGCCGAGAGACTTCTCGTTATATACGAGAGCGAGGACGGCAGCACGGCCTATTTGCCGGACACCACCATCTGTGTTCGGAACTTATTCTTCCACATTTGCACTATGTAAGTAACTTTGCAAAGACTTGTGACTTATTAGGGTCAGGGATAAAGATTGGCCAATGGTTGCCCGGCGCGTTAATCCCTAGTAACGATCCTATAGAAACAATTACTTGACGTTTCTATGGTGACGGATAGACTAATATTCAAAAAGTGAGAACGGTTAATCGGAAGCTATTTTGTGTCTACACTCCATTCCACTTAAGTCCGTCACTATCCATTCAGTGTGTAAGGAGTGTATCATCGGGAGCTTAATGCAACTTTCGGCATCAGCAGAGTCATCGTCACTTTTAAAATAGACGCGCTTTTCTCAAACTTTGTTGCGTTTATTCCGACTTGCTTAAAATGTCAAATGTAGGTGAATTTTCCTGGAGTTGAATTTTAGGGCATTTAACCCATGTTCAGAGAGAGAAATAAAAACTCTTCGTCATTTTTTTACATCCTCCACAAAACGTCTATAATAAAATCAGTATCATGTGGTGGTTGTACGGGAACCACGTTTTGCCTATTAAACCTTTTACTTTTTTGATGTTCTCGTTGGCGTCGCCCTCGTTGCCAAGACGGCAATAAGAACGAGAACGGCGGCCAAAATATCGAAAGAAAAAATGGGTTTAGATTAGCACAAAAGGTAACATACTTTGCACGGTGCAGAACAATTTTTGATTCATTTCTCAGTTTGCTATCACTACACGACTACGACGGAAATCGCCAAAATATACAAATGAGGGTGAATTTCTCTTTCTGTTTTTAATTCAACTCCAAGAGAGTTCGCCCACATTTGTCAAATGAGAGAGTTGGTATAATAGCGAGGAATAGCGCTGACGTTCCAAAGGACGCGAACTCAGTTTTTGAGTGACGTTTTGGCCGCCGTCGCCTTAGTGGAATCTTAACCATTATGATATGGAATGTGTAGAGAACAGCTCAACACTTGACTCATGATCGTAAAGATAGATGTTAGACAATCTGGGGAGCGTATTCTAAGTAGGGCAAGATATTGTTGTATGGGAGCGTTTTGATGCCTCCCTCTCCACTCAAAGATCGAAGCAAAGAAATTTCACTCCACAATCACTCGACCCAAATTTATTGGCTGTTGACTGCATGAATAATTAATGAGTGTGAGAATGCTTTCGAGTTGACGCTCAAAAGCATAATGCTCAAATTTTTCAAGCATAATGTTTCTAACCCTATTCGTCTTCTGAGGTTCGTTTTTCGTAATTCTCGGGACGACGACGAGCGCCGAAGCATCCGCAATTTCCGGTCTTTTTCGTGATAGTGGTCGGTTTTGTCTATTCAGCATTGTCTATTTCATGAGCATGACCTACTTTATAAGAAGGTAATTATATATGCATTTATTAGTAAGTTACCTACTGGATAGGAAACTCAAATTATAGAGGAAAGTTTAATTATAAATCCCTTAATGGGCTTTACCACACAACAGATTTAACCCTAAACTGACTTTTCATAAGCGACACATCTACGGTATCCTCAGTCAAGTTAGTCAATTTCACGTCTACAACCTACTGCATAAGTAAGTAGCATTGTAATTAAAGTAAACCCTGCTTTATGAGAAAGTTACCTATTACCGGCATGGGGAACTCAAATCAGTACAAATTACTACTCGAGTATACCATAATAGGCCTTTTGCAGCTAGCCATTCAAGTGGTACAAAACCGCCGTTGCTGGAGAGCAAAAGTCGCACTGGGACAAGACAAACAAAGAAAATTACCATTTCAAATTATGTATGTCTTTTGTTTGTCTTGTCCCAGTGCGACTTTTGCTCTCCAGCGTGGCGGTTTTGTACCACGTGAATGGCTAGCTGCAAAGGGCGTATTGCTAACTACTACGCGTATGTTCTATATGCGACATCAGTCTAGCCATACCTTTAATCAACATTAACTACGTTACTTCGTGTGTATTACCTTTTTCAGAAGAAAGAAATATCTAAATTAAGGAAAAAACATATTTTATAAGTGACGTATTGCATATGTAGAAATAAAGCTATTTATTTTTACTGTTCTTTAGTCAAATTCTCAGTGGTGTTAACAAAAAGATCCTTATCTAACCATCAAATAGAAAGCAAGCTGTAGATATAGACTGATATCTCAGCGATCTTCTCTCAGACCCGAAGAACTTGTTTGACATTGCTAATCCTAAAAAGCACTTACTTGCTATTACCCGGTTGTGGCTTGATTCTATCCTTGGTTCAAAATTATCCCCTTTATTTTGGAGTATGGTAACATATGATAATGATTTTTGAAAAAAGGAAATAAAATTTAAACCAAGAATAAAACTGAACCACAACATATACAGCTGTATCATGGCTTTTGGGCATCATTACAAAAAACCTGAATAATTTTCTTCTAGTAACACTTTTGTAAACTACTTTGTCACGATGGACGATTGGACACGACTTCCGCGATGAATTTGTTACAATTTTGTTATATCTAGCCTGCGTTTCAGTCGGCACACACTCGTCTAAACCATTGTATAATAAACAGAAAGTTTAGAGCGTCTGCGACGCAGGTAAGTTATATCGCGCTCGGCTGAGTGAAAAAATAACTGATAGAAATTAAACAGCTCTATGTAAATCATTGATGATCTCCTGCATGGTTGGTCTCACGCCAGGATCTGTCTGCAGGCAGCGTCGTACCAGGCCTCTTAACACGCGGCTCGTAATCAGCAAAACTTGCTCGTTTCTATTTTCAGGATTTGGAAGTTCCCGGATGCACATTTCGCACAATAAAACACCAAAGCTGTAAACATCGACCTAACGAGAGAAAAAAAGCCAAAGAAATTGAGTTTACGTTTGAGAAAGTTTTGATACTCCTCTTTCTTGTTGATCCAGCTTTCTTGCTTTAATGCCCCAAAGACGATATCATCTGAAGAGTCCCATAAACGTAAAAGAACTTTCTGGTTGACTTACATCTCACCTCAAAAAAAGTTAGCTCAAACTCTCACTCCCTCCGCTATACAGTCACACGGTATTATATGTAGGCTTATTTAAAAAACTGGGACCTGAAATCAATGATGACCAACCTTGACTGTTTGGTTTGGTGTAAGTGCTTCAGGTGCGCTGTAAATTATAGCTCCAGGAGCCACTGTCATGGTGTGCTGAATGAACTTAGCAGTGCCATAATCTGACACTTTGCCTCTCCATTGGTCACCCTGTCGCCATAGCAACACATTAGCACTGCTGACATCCCGGTGAATGATTGGTGATGGCTTCTTTTATGAAGGTAGTTCAGCGCGCGAGCTACATCCAAAGAAATGACGCGCATTTCTGTTCCAGATAGTTGCCGCTGTTCCAGCAAATTTCGCAGACTCATCTCCATGAGCTCGGTCACAAACAGGGGACTTCCCTCGTAATTTGTGGCGCCGATAAATTGTAGCAAACAGGGATGGCGACAAGCTGAAGCAATATTCATTTCTCTTTCAAATAAAAGCCTATTGTGAGGGGACAAAATCAGGTCATGGATTTTCTTCACTGCTACAGTACAGCCACAGTAGGTACCTTCATTGACACTTCCCCAGCCTTCCCTCCCTAAGCAGTTTTCTGTCATCTGAGTTTCATTGCGGGAAATGACCCAGTGAGGTGTTACCTGTCGTCGCTGTTCATTTATTGTTTGCTGGGCTAATGAAAGACTCAACTCTAGTTCATTTATTTCCTGTTCTTGTTCCCTTAGCTCCATTTGCAAGGTTGAAACTTGTCCTTGAAAATTTATTAACTGCCCTTGTGAGTTTTCTTCGCGTTGCCGCATCTCCGTTAGGTGCCTCTGTGAATTTTCTTCGTTTTCCTGTATTTCTCTTAACTGCCTTTGGAAGTTTTCCTCTCGTTCCTGCATCTCCCTCAACTGCCTTTGTGAGTTTTCTTCTAGTTGCTGCATCCCCGTTAGCTGCCTTTGGAAGTTTTCTTCACGTTCCTGCATCTCTCTCAACTGCCTTTGTGAGTTTTCTTCACGTTGCTGCATCTCCCTCAACTGCCTTTGTGAGTTTTCTTCGAGTTCCTGCTTCTCCCTCAGCTGCTTTTGTGAATTTTCTTCTCGTTGCTGCATCTCCGTTAGCTGCCTTTGGAAGTTTTCTTCGCGTTCCTGCATCTTCCTTAGCTGCATTTGTGAGTTTTCTTTCGCCCCATGTAAGGGATTCCGGATTCCGGAATCCACGAATTTTTTGCTTGTGGAATCCAGAATCCTGGGCTTTGGAATCCGGAATCCAGCACTAAGAATCCGGAATCCTACTAAAGATTGGAATCCGGAATCCAACTTACTAAAGATCCACTCCACATTAAATTAAGCTACTTGCTCGAAAGAAAAACCATCAGTCTATGGAAAGGGTATAGACCTGAACGTGACGACATAATATCGGCATATCTGGTGTCAAAACAATAGTTCACGAGCTCCGTATGAAAGGTCGAGGTCACGGTCACATGATTAAAATTCTATAATAGCGAGGGAACCCTTGCTTATGAGCGGCTGGGAGAATCACAAAATTCGGGGTTTTCAAGGGAACACAGCGCAGCGTTTTTAAGGTATAAATTGAATTGTTACGAATAACTTCGACCTCTGGCTTTGATTCTCTGTTGTTCACTCGCTTCGCTGAACTTTAAAAAATCAAAAGCGATTTTATGCGAGCTTTTTGACCTGGCATAGGACTGGAAAAGGTGCACCTGGGGTGAACCTTTTCTTCAACCTTCCTGGTCCTCCTGGTTCACAAATGAAAATAAACGTCTACGTTCAACAGTTTACCTAAAAAGAAAAAAAAGAAATTCACAGTCTTCTAGTTCCTAATTTGGTCCTAGTAGTTTCGCTGAGAACAGTTTCATAAGCCAGGAACTGTCAGAACCGTACCAATTAGCTGTCACTAAAGTAATCACGTGCAAGGACGCGGTGGGTGCCTTTTTCATTCATCCCCCGGCATTTGAGTGAAATCTTGCCACCTCTTCGATCAGACCAGTTTGAAGTTTGTTGTTTGTTGGATTTTTCTTTTCTACTTTTTCTTTTTTAAAAAAGACGTTATTGGAAAACACAAGCAAAAACGAAAGGCTGAGAGAGAAAGGTACCTGTAATACTGTGTTGTGAAATTTTACACCAATTTTTAGCTGACTACGATAGATCTAAACGTGCCAAAGGCAAAGCTGCATGATTTTTCGTTTGTGTCGATCTGTGGACTGTGCTGAACGTGGCGTCAAGCAAGTCATAATCATGAACAAAAGAAACGTTAAGTGTATAGTTTTAAGCCCGCTGATTGATTTTTTTCTCAATCATAATTGAATGTAATATAAATTTTACGTCGTCCTTGGGGATATAATCGTATACATGAGCGCTATATAGTTGTTAAACGCTTAAAACGAGCCAAAGTGTCAGAAACGCGCAAGTCTCTCTCGATCGCTCAGTCATCTCAGACTCGATCGAGGATCAAACGGGCTTTTCATGTTTTCTGGTTCTACAGTCGTGATTAGGCCTCGTTCAGATTGAGGTCGCTTTTGGAAATTAGACCGATCTGAGATCGGTTTAGCCTGTAATTTTTTTTCTTTGAAATGGATCCTGGAGCCACCTAGAACGCGCTAATATGAAATAAAACTCGCGGGGGCATGAGAGGACACAGAGGCTTTTACTGGAAGTACCATTCCACGCAGGGATGTTTTCTCCGCGGCCAGCTAATCCGACTTAATCCCATTTAATATGTTGCGCTCCTCGAAAGTGCGAAAATTTTCTTGTCGTGTATTAGATTTCAGATACATTTTCTTAATCTTCATTTCGCGCCAGAATAAATTAGTTTGCGCGCAAAGGGCTCCTAAAAAAATCACAAGGTTTGTCCCACTTCGATTCCACCCTCTGGGGATACGCCGGCTTGGTAGCTGGAATACATTGCCGAGGCGAAGATCTGGCATTTTTTCCTCCTCGTCGCATTTTCTTCACGACAAATGTTTATATTTGTAGTGAGAATGCAGCGCATATCGGTGGATTTTACTTCACGCGGCTGGCTACTTCTGACATAAGAGTGCCGGATTTCATCGTTTTGTTCATGTTTATTAGTGATGGCAAATGTAAGGTAAATGAACCGACCACTGTAAGGTAAGAATTGAAGTTTTAAATTTGTTACTCGGCGAAAAATCGTGGAATTGGAATTCGTGAAACTCGTGAGTATTACCTCTGTTACCTAATGTCATGCGATGAGTCCTCGCTTTTTCGATGCGTAACACGGATACAAGCGATAAATTTCTTTCGCAACGTGAAGTACAATTTACTTAGCGAGACCATTTGACGAGTATTTCTCGTTATATGCTTTATTCATATTTGCTTGGCTTATTCAGGCTACATGCTAGGAGTTTGATGACAATGTTTGTGTGCTATAATTATGCTGATAAGTTTTTGAACCTTTATATTGAAACTCATGTAAGCCAAACGTTTGTTAACTCTAGCAAAACACTCTTCTATTGTGGAGGAACTTTTAACGTCTTTCGGGGCCCTAATATGGTGTCAAATTTTTAGGGGAAACAAAGCTTGATTTTTGGCCAAACAGACTATAGCTTTTTTGTCTTTGAAGAGAGCGCGAGGCAAACGTCCGTGAGTACAGTGTAAGCCAGTGATTATTTAGGTACAGCTAACAAACATAGGCTGCACTTTAGGTGGCACACCCATGGGTGCAGTGTAACCCAGTGATTCTTTAGGTAGAGCTAACAAACATAGGCTGCACTTTAGGTGGCACACCCATGGGTGCAGTGTAACTAAGTGATTCTTTAGGTAGAGCTAACAAACATAGGCTGCGCTTTAGGTGGCACACCCATGGGTGCAGTGTAACCCAGTGATTTTTTAGGTAGAGCTAACAAACATAGGCTGCACTTTAGGTGGCACACCCATGGGTGCAGTGTAACCTAGTGATTCTTTAGGTAGAGCTAACAAACATAGGCTGCACTTTAGGTGGCACACCCATGGGTGCAGTGTAACCCAGTGATTCTTTAGGTAGAGCTAACAAACATAGGCTGCACTTTAGGTGGCACACCCATGGGTGCAGTGTAACTAAGTGATTCTTTAGGTAGAGCTAACAAACATAGGCTGCGCTTTAGGTGGCACACCCATGGGTGCAGTGTAACCCAGTGATTTTTTAGGTAGAGCTAACAAACATAGGCTGCACTTTAGGTGGCACACCCATGGGTGCAGTGTAACCTAGTGATTCTTTAGGTAGAGCTAACAAACATAGGCTGCGCTTTAGGTGGCACACCCATGGGTGCAGTGTAACTAAGTGATTCGTTAGGTAGAGCTAACAAACATAGGCTGCACTTTAGGTGGCACACCCATGGGTGCAGTGTAACCCAGTGATTCTTTAGGTAGAGCTAACAAACATAGGCTGCACTTTAGGTGGCACACCCATGGGTGCAGTGTAACTAAGTGATTCTTTAGGTAGAGCTAACAAACATAGGCTGCGCTTTAGGTGGCACACCCATGGGTGCAGTGTAACCCAGTGAGTCTTTAGGCAGAGCTTACAAACATAGACTATACAGGTGTACATCAGATAGTAACAGGTTTTCCAGTTAAAACTTTGTCATAAAGTGCTACACCTCGGCACTTCGACTATTTCATTATCGCGCTTGTTTTGACGTACAATTGATAGTCAGGAGAAGTCGTATTCTCTAAAACCATAGCAAAAGACAAATTTACACACATCACAGCGTTAAGGTAGGGTAATACACGGTATTTCCTTCAGGTACATTTACATTTTCTGTTAGGTTATAAGCGATTAAATCGCATGCAGCGACGAACAAAACGCGAAGCCGTCAGATATTCTAGAACCGTGTTATTTACAGTGCTGTGCATTATTTTTGCTTAACTAACTACGCGCTGATGGAAATAAATATGTTTCGGCCGCTTTAAATTTTGAAACAATTCACTGGTACTGTATAGTCATAATTGGAGCGGAAAGTTAGCACGCGAGCAGGGCGATGCTGGTGTGGTTTCTGTCATGTAGAAGATATTACGGCAATCAATGAGGCTCCCGAGGTCCGTTCTGGAAATCACAACTACATGTAGCAGACGTTTGTTTAACAAAGCTCCCGCGAGACGGTTTTTTGGTGATTTTATTAATTTTTCCGATCCATTTTTTTTTTCAGCTCTATTTTCGCGGCTTTTGCGATACAAACTAAATTCATTTTTAGTTGTGATGGCATTACACTGCTTAATCATGACGGCCTTGGAAGAAACTGAATATATTGCGCTTCGCGATTTCGTAAAATCGCTGCGGGAATTAAAGAAATATTTTCTTCCAAAAAAGCGTTTTCAAGCTTCTTTCTCTAGTCAATTATCTCGTTTGTCTCGTTTTCTAAAGTTCCTTGAGAACAGAATAAGACAATATTTTATTACCTACAACCTAAAAACCTGATTTTTGACCAGATCGAAACAAAACTGACCTCTGAAATGGAAGAAGAAAAGCCTTTTATTTTTGCCGGCTTCGGCCTGCCGACGCGATCGTGTCTGTTTTGCTTTCATATGATGACATTTTCCTGACAGAAGAGTGTCGGGAAAAACACCTCGCGCTGATCATACGTGACAAAATCCGCCGCGCCTAAGCTAATTAAGAAATTCTCCTCGAAAGCTCCATACAATTCCTTACAACAAAATTATAAGGAATTGTATGGAGCTCCCTGGGATACTTACAGTGCAAGCCCTCTGTGTCTTCTCAAGTTTCATAAACTCATACTCAGATCTCTTACTTATTGATGAAGCCAAAGGCGAGATCTGGTCAAATCCGATTTTGTATCCGTGATTGCCTGTCAGGAATGTGACAGGCCATGAAAGAGCGCATGCTTGAAATTCATCCTCAATTTTTGACGTGTTAAACAACGAATTTGATAGAGCCGTGAAGTTTTTTTCTATCAAAACGTGGTTATGCGCACATCTTAAGTATGAACCAACTAATTTCTGTGTTCTTTTTTTATCTTTTTAACATCAAATTCAACGCGACAACTCGGGCCAGATCTCCCCTCAGTTTGGCTTCGTCAACAAGAGATCTGGGTAGGAGATTAGGGATTTCATTGACCTCTAGGGCGAGGGGGGGAGGGGGTGGTTTGCTCTCGCATGCTGTCCAGCAAGGATGCTTGCGTAGCGTAAGTCAATGA